AAAGGGTCAGGGACTTTTTTAAATGCAAAACGTTGTGTTTTTGTAGACTTCAATGGGAACGCTGAAGAAAAGCATGTAGTGCATTTTTGCTGCATCTTTGCTGCATTTTGCAGCATTTTGCATTTTAACCGCCTCCCACCCACAATATAAGGAAATGGCGGCGTTTTTCTTGTTCTGGGAAAACGTTATATAATGTCCTCCCACTCTAACAGTGTATGCGTGCCCCCCGGGGACACATGGGACACAGCGAATCAGCAGAAAGAGCTAAAGACGTTGGCTCTGTTATGTGATCAGCTGTGTCCAACCACAGCTGATCGCATGTAAACAAGGAAATGCCGGCTATCGGCATTCCTCTCCTCATGCTGACAACTCGTGAGGAGAGGAGAGCCGTTAAGCGGCATTCCTCAGAGGGGACATGTACACCGATCATCAGAGCACTGATGATCAGTGCCCTGATGATCAGTGTAGCCCCATCAGTGCAACCTGTCAATGCCCATCAATGCCACCTGCCAGTGCCCATGAGTGCCACATCAATGCCACATATCAGTGCCTACCAGTGCACATCCATGCCACATATCAGTGCCCATCTGAGCTGCCTTTCAGTGCCACCTATCAGTGTCAGTCAGTGCTGCCTATCAGTGCTGCCTATTAGTGCCAGTCAGTGCCCATCAGTGCTGCCTAACAGTTCCAGTCAGGGCCTCCTAACAGTTCCAATCAGCGCCGCCTATTACTGCCAGTCAGTGCCACCTATCAGTGCTGCCTATCAATGACTTATATGTGTGCTGCCTTTCAGTGCCCATCAGTGATGCCTGTCAATGTCCATCAGTGCCACCTACCAGTGCCTCCTCATCAGTGCCCATCAGTGCAGCCTATCAGTGCCCATCAGTGCAGCCTCATTGGCATACATCAGTAAAGGAGAAAAATTATTTAATTACAAAGTTTTATAACAGAAACTAAGAAAAAAAAACTATTTTTTAAAAACTATTCAGTGTTTTTTAGTTCGTTTAGCAAAAAGTAAAAAACCCAGAGGTGATTAAATACCACCAAAGAAAGCTCTATCTGTCTCAAAAAAATGATAAAAATGTCATATAAGTACAGTGTTGCATGACTGTGCAATTGTTATTCAAAGTGCAGCAGCACTGAAAGCTGAAAATTAGTCTGGGAAGGAGGGGGTGAAAGTGCCCAGCAGGCAAGTGGTTAAATCTGCCTAGCAACAGGAAAAAAGATTAAAATTTTTAAAAACGCATCAAAAACACGTGCAAAGACGCACTGCGGAAACGGATCAAACGCAAACTGCATAGGTGTGAACCTAGCCTTATAGCAGAAAGTAAAAAATATTGTTTTTTTTTCAAAATTGTCAGGATTTTTTTGTTTTATAGCGTAAAAAGTAAAACAAATCAGTGGTGATCAAATACAACCAAAAACAAGCTCTATTTGTGGGAAAAAATGGCATAAATTTCATTAAGGCTCCATGCACACTGGGCGTTTTGATAATGCTGGTAACGTTAGCTGTGTAAAGTGAATTTTTCAGCGTTTTGTAGCATTTTTGTATTAGCGTTTAGCAGTGTTTTGCCAGGTTTGTTTCACGTTTGCGTTTTTTAGTGTTTTTTTACCAATAAAAACAATTTGAGGGGGGTCAAAAAAAGTCCAAAAACGCTGGTTTGCTGCAATTTACCACGTTTTTCAGTGTTAGAGCATTTTTACAGCTAAAAAACTCCTCGAGAAACCCACTAGTTCTGGGGGGTTTTTCCAGCCAAAAAATTTGAAATTTTTCAGCGTTTTGTAGCGTTTTTATATTAGCATTTAACAGTGTTTTTCCAGGTTTTCTCACGTTTGCGTTTTTTAGTGTTTTTTACCAATAAAAAAAATTTGGGGGGGTCAAAAAAAAGTAAAAAAAAAAACGCTGGTTTGCCGCGATTTACCACGTTTTGCAGCGTTAGAGCATTTTTACATCTGAAAAACTGCTCTAGAAACCCGCTAGTTCTGGGGGTTTTTTTCCAGCCAAAAAACGCCACTGCCAAAAAATGTTGATTAGACTGGCCATACACTATACAATTTTCTGTCCAATTTCTGACAATTTCCTTTAGATTTACCTTCAAGTATGTAGTGCAAGAGCCTGCCTAATTGGATACAATTGAATGTGTTGTTAGTTTTGACCTACTATTATATGATTTTTGGTAAATCTAAACCAAAAATCTCAAGAAAATTGTATAATGTATGGCCAGCCTTATGCAGGCCATAGATGAAAATCGGCCGATCTTTGCACCGTTAGTGGGTTAATTGGTCGGCCATTTTTGGGGGTTTTGGCACATATTTTTTATCAATCAAGTTGGAAAATTTGCGGCCGATTTTGAAGATCGGACGATTTTCCTGGCAATGATGAGCAAATCGGCCGATCGTTTTACCAATAAAAAATCTGTGCATGAGCCGTGACCTGCAAGAAGAAGAAAAAGAAGAAGAAGAAGAAAAAAGAAGAGGAAAAAGAAGAAGAAAAAGAAGAAGAAGAAGAAAAAGAAGAAGAATTCCAGTCCGCTATTATATTTTATATGAAAAGTCTTGTGGCTGCAACAATGTATCTATTTGTATCCGAATAAAAACATCTGTATCCGAAATGGATACAAATAGATACATTGTTGCAACCGCAAGACTTTTTCATGTAAAATATAATAGCGGAGCTCTCTGCAAGGGACAGAAGTAATTATGGGGTTAAATGCCGGCCGTAAACTGGACGAAAATCGGCCGATTTTTTTTACCATTGGTGGTAACGTTGACCGATCGAACGACCGATTTTTTCTGGTTTTTTTTTATAAAAAAATGGCCGGTTTTCGACCCGTCTATGGCCTGCATTAGTCTATGTGTGCATGGACACATACGATAATATGCTGGGAAGTTTACTGACTGTAGAAAAAAATGTCAAAAGCCATTAAATACATGTGCCTCTACTATGGAGGCTCTTAAAATTGGAGACTTAGGAACTACAGAATACTGGGGTGCCATGATGAGGCTCTGCAGCTAACTAAACCCCTGATTTTAACACATACTGTTAGACAGGTTAATTTGGTTTGTTTGTAGGCTGGCTGGCAAGTTAGAGCTGGGAAGTTTTCTTTTTGTTGTATGACATGCATCGCCCTTCCATGTGATCCTTGCTGTGAAGGCCAGTTATAGACTGGGGCAGTGGCCATGTTTTGTACAGCAGCTGTAAAAACGTCCATTGTACATGAGGACTTACAGTTGTGTTCAAAATAATAGCAGTCAGACATCACTAACCTAATCAATCACTGTTTTTGGTAGAAATGATATTTCTACATGGCAAATAATTTACTAGCAGGTGTAGTAAAGTAATAGAAATCCAACAGACCCAACAGTCATGACATGCATGCTGCTGATTCTGTGTAATTGAATCACTAATTGAAAGGGGCATGTTCAAAATAATAGCAGTGTGGAGTTCTATTAGTGAGGTCATTCATTCTTTGAAAAACAGGTGGCAATTATTGCCCTTATTTAAAGAAGGAAGGCAGCAAATTTTGTACATGCTGTTTACAGTGCATTTCTCTCTGAAATTCTGAGGAAAATGTCTCGTTCCAGACATTGTTCAGAAGAACAGCGTACCTTGATTAAAAAGTTGATTGGAGAGGGGAAAACATATAAAGAAGTGCAGAATATGATAGGCTGCTCAGCTAAAATGATCGCAAATGCTTTAAAATGGCAACAAAAACCTGAAAGACGTGGAAGAAAGCAAAAAACTACCATTGGAATGGATAGAAGAATAGCCAAAATGGCAAGGACTCAGCCAACAATCAGCTCCAGGAAGATGAAAGAAGGTCTAAAGTTCCCTGTGAGTACTGTTACAATTAGAAGACGCCTATGTGAAGCCAAGCTATCTGCAAGAAGCCCCCGCAAAGTCCCACTGTTGAAAAAAAGACGTGCTGAAGAGGTTACAATTTGCCAAAGAGCACATTGACTGGCCTAAAGAGAAATGGCGCAACATTTTGTGGACTGATGAAAGTAAGATTGTTCTTTTTGGGCCTAGTGGCCGGAGACAGTTTGTCAGATGACCCCCAAACACTGAATTCAAGCCACAGTACACTGTGAAGACAGTGAAGCATGGTTGCGCAAGCATCATGATATGGGGATGTTTCTCATACTACGTGTTGGGCCTATTTATCACATACCAGGGATCATGGATCAGTTTGAATACATCAGAATACTTGAAGAGGTCATGCTGCCTTATGCTGAAGAGGAAATGCCCTTGAAATGGGTGTTCCAACAACACAACGACCTCAAACACACCAGTAAACGTGCAACATCTTGGTTCCAGACCAACAAGATTGACGTTATGGAGTGGCCAGCCCGATCCCCAGATCTTAATCCAATAGAAAACTTGTGGGGTGACATCAAAAATGCAGTTTCTGAGGCAAAACCAAGAAATAGAGAAGAACTGTGGAATGTAGTCCAATCATCCTGGGCTGGAATACCTGTTCACAAGTGCCAGAAGTTGGTTGACTCCATGCAACACAGATGTACAGCAGTTCTCAGAAACAGTGCTTATACAACTAAATATTCATTAAGTGATTCAAAGGAAAGCAAAATCTTCAAACATTTTTCAGTTTATATAGTGAATGTTTGAGTTTGTAAAGAAGAATACAAACACTGCGATTTTTTTTTGAACAGTCTAATATTCACTTTTCTTCAATTTTTTTAGAGGAACAACACAAATTTGATCTATTTTTCTTCATGTTTTGATTTGGAATAGAATGTGTAGTGTTCTCAATGCATTTGTGTGTATGGAAATAAAAGCTATTAGAAGGATTTTGAGCTTTATTCACTTTTTTCAACACACTGCTATTATTTTGAACACAACTGTATGTGCAGTGGTACATGACCGTGCAATGGTCAGTTAAATTAATGCATATAGTAAAAAAATGGCCTGGACAGAAAGCAGGGTAATCTTCCGGAGATTAACCTCCCTGGCGGTATTCCCGAGTGTAGCTCGGGGTAAAATGTCAGTGCCAAAAGCGGTAACCCCGAGCTACACTCGGGCTTACAATGCGGCGCTGCATAGGGAGTCCCTGCAGAGCTCACCTTGTCCTTCGCTCCCGCTATGTGTCCCCTGCAGCGTCCCCCGGCCATCTCCTCCGGCCGATGCCAGCATCCGGCTTCTGTGTTCCGGTCCCTGTGACGTCGGGACGTACGGGTGCCGCCGGCGGTGGGAAATTTGAAAATTTAAAAAAAATGTCATTTTTTTCAAAACAAATTTTTCATAGTAAAACATTGCTATTTCAACCCATTTCACATACATATTGTCCCTAGTGCTTTGTCCTGTGCCCTGCCTGCATTTTGTCTGTTCTTTCAGCCTGGAAACTGAGAAACGTCCATGGCGTCCAAAAAGTGTCCCTTTAGGTCAAAAGCGGGTTTAGATCAGCTAGAGAACAGCGATAGTAAATCAGAACCACTTGCAGAATTGAGTGATAATGATTTGTGGGGAAATTCGTCATCAGACACTGAAAACGATTTTGCGACTTTGCTCAGTGATGTGTGAACTTGGTGCTCTATTTCAAATTTCAGTGTTTTCGGTTTGATTATATTATTGAATTAAATGTATTATTACTATATTATTATTTTTTATGATTATTTATTAAATTATAATTTATGATTTCGTGTTTCAAATTTTATCATACCCGGGATGTTTAATAGACTCTTGTTCGGACAGATTTCAGTGAGTTATTCCTAAAAATTACAGCCTACAATAAAAAAAACGACATATTTCCATGCAAAATAATGGTACCGCTTTCAGCACCAAAAATCTGAAATAATCAGACCGCTAGGGAGGTTAAGAGGTTTTTATATCAAAATTAGTGTGTTCTGTAAATTGCCTCCAGCATTGCTCCTGTTTTTTTCTTGATGAGAGGTTGCCATTTTGCTGAAGCCCAGAACTCCTGAGCAGCAGTAAATCTTTCGGCTGTCAGCAGATTGGCCTCTACATTTTTGGCACAAAATAGAGAGCAACTGAGCATGTGCAGAACAGGGTGCGACAGTATATTAATGGACAGGGGCGGACTGACTATTTGGAAACTTGGGCACTGCCTGAGGTCAGTAGGGGGGCACCAGGAGATGCCCTTGGTACCTTTTTCATAGGCTTTTTTGAGTTTGGGCAAGGACACAGGGGCCCTATGATCCCCTATTGCCTGGGGGCCCCATGAGTTGTCAGTCCGCCCCTGTTAATGGATTATAAACAGTATAAACAGGCACTTATTTTTCATGTTTTCTATTGTTATACCTGGAAAAGGGGCCAGCCTGAAGTGATTTAGTAGGATTTAATTTTCTGACTAAAGTTCGCCTCTAATCCAAAATAGGGGCTGGCCTTGGAAATGAGGGCAGCCTATAAATGTGCTTTTGTTCATAAACGTCTCCTTATAATTACTTGGCAACCTGTTAGTTCTTATGTAATCCTTTCAGTGTGTGAGTAATGGGATGGGCCGCAGTGACTTCCTGGTTTGTGTTGTAGGTCTGCCTTTCTAGTTTCACAGTGCCTGCTTAATGTGCAGGTGGTGGTTGTGATCTCTACAACACACTGCATGAGCCTTTGGATATATACGACAGGGGTCTGATGGAAGATATGAAAACATGACCTACCGGGCACACAGGGTGAGCTGGAAGGAACAGGAGTGTGAGGAGTCGGGGAATGAGTGTGACGACCAACCAGATGGCAATGACCTGGAGTCACTGGGGTAATGTACAGCAATCTCTCTTCAGCACATTGTATTCATTTCTTTGTCATTTCATCCTCCGATTAGCACAGCCTTCTCATGGAGGATATCCTGCAATAACACACATGTACACAAACATCGAATGATTCATGTGAATGTGAGCTCGCTGCTTCAATTCCTGTTTATGGCGGACCTGTATGTTTTCATAGCATTAAAAGCAACAGATGACGCTTCAGCCTGGGTTCACGCTGATACGGTGCGGAATTCCGCACGCATCATAATCGCACCCCGTTCATGTGAACCGCTGCGGGTGTGTATGTTAACAACCCTCTGAAATCGGTCCGCAAAACGCGGTGCGATGTGTAGAATGGGATCGCATGGGTGTGAATAGCCATGCGATTCGATTCTAGTGCGGACCAAAAAAGGGTCCTGCGCCTTTTTGGTGTGGATGCGGTGCGATTAGAGCTATACAAGATGTATGGCTCCAATCGCACCGCACAGTATTCCCATGTGATTTGCACAGGAATGCGTTGCGGTTCCTGTGCAAATCACATTCTATGTGCCGCACAAGTGTGAACCCAGGCTTAAGGCCAAAGTCAGCAAGTTGTGCCAGAAGACCCCCAGTGGGACTTTATTGCAGTAATAAAGTCCCACTGGGGGGGGGTGTTCTGGCACATATATTCATTTAGGGACGAGCAGCCAGATACTCGACTTTCTTGGTTATAAGGGCTCGACTTTATTTGTAACTCTTGCCAAACCCCCCTATAGTGTTTGACAGGCATTAGGTGTTTGACAGGCATTGGGCGTTTGGGAAGCGTTTTAAAGGCTCCCCAAATGCCCTATGCGCGGTTTTGAGGCGGTTGATAGGCGTTTGCCAAGCGTTAAAACCGCACCACAAACGCCTATAATGAAGTTAAATGGTATTAATGCTCCGCAACCACGTCGCAAACGTCTGCCAGGCTTTTGAGGAGCGGCACCATAGACTTGAATGGGAGGCTTCAACTCCTCCTGACTGGACAAGAGGCGTCAGTTCTGACACAACGCTAACGCTTCAGTGTGAACACTGTGTGCTGCCATGTGCAGAATTTTCATAGGTGTTTGAGAAGCGTTAAAAAGGCTTGCCAAACGCCTGTCTTCCGCCTGCTGACAAAGCTAGTGTGAACTGAGCCTAAGTTAACAAGTTGGCAAAAAGCCAGATACAATCCACACGCAATTTTATTTACATTCTGTTTTTGCACTTTCGGGGCTTGTTTATATAAGCGTTGCCCTCTGAAGAGCCATCTGCAGTGGATAGCTCTTCAGAGGGTGCTATACAGGCAACTTGGTTATAAGTCAGGAAGTTGGGAGTTGGCAAAAAGCCAGATACAATCCACACGTGATTTTATTTACATTCTGGTTTTGCACTGTCAGGGCTTGTTTGTATAAGCATCACCCTCTGAAGAGCCATCTGCAGTGGATAGCTCTTCAGAGGGTGCTATACAGGCAACTTGAGGAGATGTGTCACCCACCCAACTGTTTTAATGTTGCCCACAGCACCACACTGCAACTCTATGCCTTATACGCGGTCGCAGGGTGGTTGCGGCATGCCCCCTTTCACTTGAATGGAACTTGTTGCCTGCTGAACATAATAGGGGTAAAATGTTTTCTGTGTTATGTGTACAACCCTCTCCCGCCATCATACTTTCACACTGCTCCGGTACCATTTTTACCACGTTTCAGATGCGTTTTTCACCTGTGAAAAAAAAGGACACAACAAATGCACACGTTCAATAGGGAGGTGTGTTTTTTTGTTTTTTTTTGTTTTTTTTTACACTGCACCAAAGATGCATTAAAAAATGCAGCGTGCAGGATTTAAAAAAATGCAGCAGACCCACAACTGATCATTGTGATGAGTTTTATAGGATTTCATGGTCCTGTGTTTTTCTTCCTCTTTTTCTTTAATGTTAAAAACAGAAGAAAAATAGATCCATGTGAAAGCAGCCAAGGGAAGGTGATAAAAACATGACACGGCCACCTGTTTTTACCGCATCCCAACTGCAAGTGTAAACAAAGCCTTACATTTCTAATTGGGGATGTTGTTTTTTTTAGGTTCAATGAAACTACCTTCAGCCTGGATTCATACTGATGTGGTGCCACATTTTCACCGGTTTCTGTGTGATTTCCGCACCGCATCATAATCACACTCCATTCACACGAACCATTGCGGGTGTGTATTTTAAGTTAACGGCACCCCGAAATCAGTTTGCAAAACGTGGTGCAATGTGCAGAATCGGATCACATGGGTGTGACCACCCAATGCGATGCGAGTCCAGACCAAAAATAGGGTCCTGCCCCTTTTTGGTGCGATTTGAGCCATACAAAATGTATGGCTCAAATCGCACCACACACAATTCCCATGTGATTTGCACAGAAATGCGGTGTGGTTCCTGTGCGAATCACATGCGGTATGTTGCCCAGCACAAGTGTGAACCCAGGCTCAAACATACAGAAACAGCTGAACTGGGCAGGATGTGTCCTATGTAACTTCTTAAGCAGTCCATAGATGAAGTGATTTTCTTTCCAGGAAAGAAAATTGCCCGATTCCCTCATCAACACAGTCCGTGTTGATAGGGGAATCCTTCCCACAGAGCCATTGTGTTCTTTTAGCGGGGGGGGGGGAGCCTGCCGGGAGAACATAGTGAGCCGCTAGCAATAATCACATATAAAATCCGACAGGCTGGTTGTACCCAGGTTGTTTGTTTGATCAACTTTGGTACATTCAGCCTGCCCATACTTGGTCTGAATCTCGACTGGTCCCTGCTGAACCAGCCAGAATTCGAACCGTCTATGGCCAGCTTTATACAGTGGGAAGGAAAGAATCAAAGCATCCATATGTGTACAGATGTATCAATTACACATGTACAACAGGTTTTTTATTTAAAGTATAGATAAAACCAAAACTGTTGGATAGAGTGGGGAAGAAATAAAACACTTGAAAGTTTTTTTGTTTTTGTTTTTTTGTTTGTTTTTTGTTTTTTTGGCCATTTGTCTTCCATTGGGAATTTTTTTTGTTTCACTCTCCTGAAGACGCAGCAGGAAGTGAAAAAAAATCACTGTACAGTGAGGGAAATGCCCTTTTCGTTGTCACCAAAACAATTATAATGATAGGGACATTGATAGATTTTCCTGTTTCTATTCTTGTTCAGGTGACAACTCAAAATTTTGGAATTTACTAATGTTCAGTCCTGGTGACAATGGGCACAGGACAAATAGAGAGGTACCTTCCTAGCAGAGGTATAACTCTATCCAAAATTTTAAAACTTTTTAAATGAAATACACTTCGCATCTGATGGTTTGATGACCATAACATTTAATGTTTGTGCACCTTTAGCTCAGCATCTACGATTTATGATGTTTGGATGAGACAGATTTTTTTTTTAATTGTGGCAGTTGAAAAAGAAATCTCCAAAATTCATGACTAGATTAAAGTGTTACTAAATCCACAACAGTAAAATCAGTCTTTATAGGCAGTAAAGCACGCTTGTTATACTCACTGTGGAACCTAAGGGGTTAATCCTCTGCATTGTGTAAAAAGGATGTTTGATTCTCTCCTCTAATCCTCCCCTTCTTCTGCTGTCCCCATATATCACCTGATAGAACAGAGGCTCAGGGGAAAGCTGAACATGCTCAGTTTGGTGTGTACTGCTAGAGAGCTGTTTTTTCTTGGGAGAGTGCATGTGATCAGCACAGGACCAATCAGCACTGACCAGACAGAGGGTCAGGATTTCGGCATCCTCATAGGGGAGAACGAAAACTCCTACAAGCTTTAACCAGTACTCTGGTGGGCGCTGATAGAAGTCACAAGACTGCTATGTACTTCTGATGAGAAAAGGTATTTAGCAGTTTATATTTACTAAAATAATTGCATTTCCATGTTGTGTGTCCTGTGGGAGACCAGATATAGTGAATGCAGGGTCCTGGGTTTAGTAAAACTTTAAATTTAAATACATTAGGCTCAATTCTACAAGGATAAAGATTGTTTTCTGCAATGTAACTGTCATTTTCAAATCTTATTGGACTCATTTGAAAGTAACAGTTACTTTGAAAATAAGGAACCTTATCCCGGTGTGCTTCCTAAACTGAACCTGTTGTTTTAGGGCCACACCAAGCCCACATTAGAATCGTACAGGAACGCGCTATGCATTCCTATGCGATTCACATGCAGCTCTTTACTGGGTGAATTCAAGCCTATTCATTTTGAATGGGCTCAAATCGAACAGTATCACACCGAAAGTAGTGCAGGCACTACTTTTCAAAACTCACTGTAACCAGATTACATGGTACAAACGTACCATGTAACCCATTGCAGGCAGGTATGGGCGAATGTACTGCGATTGCGACTGTGTTTGGGGTGGAGTTAACATTTTATTGACACCCACTGCAGATTGCAAACGCACTGCGTTTTGCAGGTGGGTTAAATTGCACAGAAACATGCAGGCATGGTGTGAATGGGTTTATGTCAGCAGGCACTTCCATCAAGAATTGCGGTTTCTATTCTAACGCATACAGCTGTAATTGAATATAAGGCCCTTTCACACAGGCACACTCCACCAAGCTGATCCATCTGCTCTGTGGGGAATCTGTCCGCTGATGGTGGATGACAGGTCTGTGTCTGCTCCCCTTGCACAAAGCAGACATGGACACAACCTGCTGTTCTCTATGGGGTGGTCGAATGTAAAGAGACCACCGGTCCGTTTACATTCGACTGCCATCCGATCCAATCCGCTAGACAGATGGGGAACAGATGCCCTGTTTGTCTGTTTTAAGCAGATTGGATCATATGCAGGCGAGTGTAAATGGACACATGTCTGTATGCATCCGGCTCCCCATAAAGAACAATGGGTGGTCCGGTCGGCACTGCGAACGGGCGGACTTGATTGGACAGCCCATGTGAAAGGACCCTAAGTGTTTGACATGAAAAGGCTACATATGACCTGCTTTGTTTTAAGTTTCAAATGCACCTTAAAGTATATGGGAACCCTTACCTTGTAAAACACCCCATTCAGCTTAAAGCGATTCTAAAGGTTCATTTTTAATTTTTTTTTTTTTAAATAACAAACATGTCTATACTTACCTGTTGTGTGCAGTGGTTTTGCACAGAGCAGACTGGATCCTCCTCTTCTCGGGTCCCCTACAGGCTATCATGGCTCCTCCTGTCTGTCGGGTGCCCCCACAGCAAGCAGCTTGCTATGGGGGCACTCACTGCTCCATGTGCCCATTCACATATGGAACCTTGGCTTGGCCCTGCCCCTGCTGTCTCAGCCAATGAGGAGGCAGAGACCCGTGACAGCTGAGGCTATTATTCACATCGCTAGATCGCGTTGAAGCTCAGGAAAGTATTGAGGGGGCTGGGGGAGCTGCTGCACACCGAAGGTTTTTTAGAATGCATGAACATAAAAAACCTTGAGCCTTTACAACCACTTTAAATATAAATTGCTAGGCAAAGGGTATTCCCAAGGGTAGCCACAGCACTCTGTTTGAAGTAAATGCCCAGGTGTTCACCCACAAAGAAATCAATACAAATCCAATATAGTAGTATAATCCAATAGTGGTATAGAGGCACTCAAGGGTCTTGCAGAGGAGGTAGATCAAAATAATAGTGGTTTTTTTTGTCGACATTTTGATGAAGCTCAGTCCATCTTCCTCAAGACACTCTCTCAAGAGTCGACAACAAAAACCACTGCTGTCTAGATCTACTGTACCTTATCTCCCAGACTCGTTGAGTGCCTCTATACCAGCTTTACATATTATATATACAGTATGTATATCATTATAAATGCTTTTTTTTTTTTTTTTTTTTTTTTTTTTTTTTTTTAAATTATTACATGACCTCTGTTCTAAGCTGCATAGAGGGCTTAGAAAGATGGGGGGTGTAGACTGCAGGGAAGAGTATCAGCAGGAGGCGGGGGGAGGGCAGTACAGTGATCTCCCCAGTGAATGACTAGGGGGGGGCATGTGAGCACAATTCCGACCATTGGAATACAAGCAGGCTGTGCTTCCAGATAGAGTGCAAAGAAGAAAACTGACCATGCTGGGATGTGCTTCCATGCCCTGGTGTGGTCTGTTTAAAATAGGAAAGCAGGGGGGCTGGCAGGACTAACAGGTATTTCAAACTAAGGAAGCAATGCAAATTAATAGGATTCTTTTTCTACAAGTAAATGGTGACTGAGACACATCAGGAATATACAATGTTGATGTAACATACACTTTAAAGCTGAACTAAACCCTCCTATCTTTTACAGCCAAGGAAGGTGCCATCATTGCCATTGCCAGTGGACCTTGCCCCCCCCCCCCCCCCCCCCTCCCTGCTGGGACCAGCATCTTCTTCTGGGGTGCTGGTCTTTAGCTGTCTTCATTGGCTGGCATGGGATGACGACATTCCTGTGCATGCGCAGGAGTCCGTAATACTAGCACACAGGGATTGTACCAGCGATGTAAGCACGTTACATACCGGTGAACACTACAAGCAGGCAGGTAGGTGTATTTTACTGCAGAAGAGATATTGCCTATCTCTTCTGCAATAAATAGCCTATCTGCTCAGTTTGTGAGAGCAGAACTTTAGCTCCGCTCTAAATTGATGGATTAGTACTGCTCTAAGCACGATTAAGCACTAAACCATGTGAAACGCGTTAACAGGTCCTGTATTCATGTCCTGGTGTTTTGTGTGTGATCAATAAATATATACTATATTCATTAATCCTCCAGTGTGCGGCTGACCCTGCTTCCTAAGGCTTATGCACATGGACATATTTGGGCATATACCTAGGGCCAGATTTAGACCTGGGAGGGCACTTTAGGTTTGGGGGGGCCTCTCATACATAGAGTTGATTTACATTCTCAGTGACATTTAGTGACATAATAATTTTATTTTTTATATAATTTTTTATATTTTATTTATTTTTTTGTTTATGGGGGTTGGCTTCTTTCAGGGGGGCCCAGGGCAGTTGCCCCTTTTGCCATCTTAGAAATTCAGCACTGCAAACACCTTAAGCCCGCAGTCACATCAAAGCCGATTTTGAAATCGGGTGACCCGCTGATTTCAGTTGCGGTTTGACACAGATGTCAATGCAAATCGCACCAAAAGTAGTGCATGCACTACTTTAGAAATTGGTGTGGCTCTGTTCAAGTCAGAATTGCGCTGATATGACCGCTCTAATAGCGGACAATGGGGTGCGACTTGGCATGCAATTTGCAAGTCGCCTGGCATGCAAATCGCATGCCAAATCGCACCCATTGTGATGGGGGGCTGAGATTTTATTATATTTCCATGCATAGGAGCTACGGGTCTTATAACACAGCCATGGCCAGCAACTTCAACAAATCAATGACAATCTGTTAAGATGGTGTGGGTGTCTGGTTACACGCATGCGTGGATAGATGAGTGCCCTAAGACAGACACGCAACTATATCTTGCATTTTTTGTAAACAATATGTATTTAAAATATGTTTTCTTTTATAAGAAAATCTAAAATATTAATATTCTGTATATTAATTCTGAGCCAGCAGATAGAGCTTTAGACTTTCTTACATGTTTTTTCATTTGTTCATTTTTTTTAATTTTACAGTTTTCCATAGCTCTAGATGAGTGTACATACATACAAAGGTGAACTAGGCAGCACAGTGACAGCCGTGCTCTCTTTTTAGAAAACCAGTAGTACTCTGGGATTCATTTGTTATGTAATAAATATTGTAAAATATATGTAAAACCAATATAAATTATATACACGCTGTATAAAAACAAACAAAAATTTGTTTAAAACATAAATAATAATCCCTGGCCAGGAAGGTAGGGACAACTCCCAGAGGGCTATCTCCCTACTCCACTGGATATGCACCTCAAAAATCCCATGTCTTGTCCTCTCGTCTGGTGCCGAGAAAGCCTTTGATTGTATTGATAGGGTATTTAAATCACATATATTGCATAGGTTAGGACTTGGGATCAAAATGCAATCTTGGATTGGAGCTCTCTATGACCGCTCTACGGCCCAAGTGAAAGTCAAAAGTCAATCAGACCTTATCCCAACCATTTCCTGTTTCCAACGGGACAAGTCAGTGATGCCCTTTATCGCCATTACTATTTGCCTTAATCATGGAGGCCTTTCTACGTCAGATTTGTCAGAACCCGGATATTATCGGGGTTCGAGTCGGCTCTACTGAACATAAACTGGCTGTGTTTGCAGACTATGATTTTTTTTTTTTTTTTTTTTTTTTTTTTTTTTTCCTTTGCTCACCAAGGACAACCCTGCCTAATCTCCTGAAGGAAAGAGATCAATTTCATTATCTATCTAATTTTAAGATGAATCTTGGGAAGTCGGGTATCCTGCCTCTGAGGTAGATCGACAAGCACTCGAACGCTCATTCCCCTTCTGATGGCAAGACTCCCCCCTCACTTATCTAGGTATAAAACTGCCTGCTGACCCGAAAGATCTCTACAAGGCTAATATTGACCCCGCTGTTATGCTCTGTCCAGGAGGAATTGAAGTCCTGGGAGAAAGTACAAACCACCTGGTTTGGTAGGATAACCATATTAAAGATGACGATCCTCCCCAAATTTTTATTTTTTTTTCCCAGATGGTTCCTATCCGCTTACCGGGGGCCTTTTTTCTTAAAGCTCAACCGAAGTTTATTAAGTTTGTGTGGTGCAGGAAACCACCGTGCCTCTCATATGACCTCATGCATTGTACGAAGGCAGGGGGGGCCTTGGTCTTCTGGATCTCTCGTATTATCGCGTGACTGCCTTGCTTCG